TGCGCTTACGATTTAATAATATCTCGAACTGCAACTGCTACTCGATTATTTACACAGATATGTCTTAACGATACTTTCAATCATGTTGCGGCCTCCGAGGAATTCGACGAAGCACAGATTTCAGCGATCGTTCGGTAGATCGCGGATTTTGGTGCAAGTGTTGCACGTTTCGGAACGCGATTATGTCTGGCGATCGAAATTCGTTCAACCTGTAACTCTTTATGTGGAAATCCGTCCGCGGTTGAAATATTTTCAATATAGTAATGTCTCCCTAATTGTAGTCCAAATTGTGCACTAAAATAGACAATTTGGGAAGACGAGACGCGATTATTTGAGCCTTGCAGCTCGTTTTTTTTTATAATTACCGATTCTCAATAACTGTGAAAACGAGCTGCAAGGCTCGAATAATCGTATCTCCTCCTCCCAAATTATCCATTTTCGTGGACAATCTGAGCGTCAATTAGAGAGACATTGCTGTACATCGCAATATGCCATGAAAAGCAAATATTTCTCAACGTAGTCAAAGATAATCTACTTCTGCGTTGGTTAAAGTTAAGTGGATTAAATTTTTCTAAGTACAGTAACGTCTCCCTAACTGACGCGCTCAGGTTGTGCACAAAAATGTACAATTTGGGAGTAGGAGCTACGATTATTATTCGAGCCTTGCGACTCGTTTTTATAGTCACCGATTGTCAACAACTATAAAAAACGAGCAGCAAGGCTCGAATAATCGTATCTCCTCTTCCAAAATTGTCCATTTTTGTGGACAATCTGAGCGTCAATTAGAGAGACAATACTGTACATTCTAAATAAATTCTCCCCGATTGTCCTTCAACTTGTAAACAAAAATGGATAATGTCGGAAGAAAGGAGATACGATAATTCGAGCCTCGAGCCTCGTTCTTATACTTGTTGACATTTGGTAATTATAAAAACAAGCCACGAGGCTTGAATAATCGCATCTCCTCCTTCCAAATGTTGCAGAATCTAACTTTCCAGGAAAATGTTCGATGCCGATATAACAAAATGATATATTATGACAAAACTGAATAAACTTTTTTACGAACTATAGCACAGATCTCGTATTTTTCTTCGCTCGAAACGATCTGTCTGAAAGTACTAGTAAGATTTCTGCCACCATTAAAATCTGGTTTTTAAATGTGTTTTACAAAGACTGGCATTTTCATCAACATCTTCGACAATATAAGAAATCCGTAAATGTTTAAAGTTGCGTTTCTACTTTCGGCAACATGTTCGAATCCGATTGCAAAGTGACAGTCGGATTGCGTAGCCTGAACGACAATTGTCAAGAATTTATAAGAGAAGAGTAGAATTTATAAATATGATCGCGAGACTGGAAATTAAGGAATTTCCAAACTGTTTCAGTTTTAATCGATGCGCCAGCGTCTTCGTCGTTCCTCTTTCCGTTAATATTCTTTTTAATGTCCCTAGATCTGTTCTTCGTGTGTCAATTCATCGGGAGTGACCTTTACAGGCAACCGTGAAACTAAAGCACTCTGTAATTATCGAAGTTTCTTTTTAGCTCTCTATCAGACCCTTCGTTTCCTTAATTAAGTATGTCGATAAAATTAGCTGTCTTGACGTAAGACGTTGATATTACCTAGAAATAGCGCAATTAAGACGACTCGACGGCGTCGATCGCTGCTGTTTTTCGTTCGTGCCGCGGGACTACTTTCCGCTGTCGATAGTTACGCCCAGGAAAATTCTAGATCGACAACGCACGCGTTCGCGTAATCGTTGTAAGAGATTCATGTCGAGGATCGTTGCACGTCGGTTACGAGAATCATTGGAATCGCTGCGACGATCGTCCAGCATCTCGTTGTCGAAACATGGAAATTACTTTACGGATCGTTCGATCGTGTTCGAAATCGTTTGTCGATTACAATGCGTATGAAATTGATAATCGGAATCAAAAGAATATTGGAAATTGGTAATCGACGATAAATAATCTGCTGTTTGAATGGCACAAAGTAACAAACAACATTGTTCGCGTTAATATTTTAAGAACACGGAGAGCTAACTTGTACGATCATTTTTAATTGTGCAGAAACCAATCGATTCGTTCAGTAATCCTGTTACATTTGTCGAGTAATACTGGAGCTAGTACAACAAAGAATTTATTTACTCGAACATAGGAAGCATCTAACTGTCGAAATATGAAAATTACTTTACGGATCGTTCGATCGTGTTCGAAATCGTTTATCGATTACAATGTGTATGAAATTGATAATCGGAATCAAAAGAATATTGGAAATTGGTAATCGACGATAAATAATCTGCTGTTTGAATGGCACAAAGTAACAAACAACATTGTTCGCGTTAATATTTTAAGAACACGGAAAGCTAACTTGTACGATCATTTTTAATTGTGCAGAAATCAATCGATTCGTTCAGTAATTCTGTTACATTTGTCGAGTAACACTGTAGCTAGTTCAGCAAAGAATTTATTTACTCGAGCATAGGAAGTTGAAAATTTCGAACGATACGTATCGTTGATCTCTTCGTAACGTTACATAAATAATACAATTCTGTTCTTTGCATGAAACTAATCGGCCAAAGATTTCGCTCTTCTTCGCACAGATACACATGTCCGCTTTTCGTACAGCCTTCTTACGAGTTCTCTATAGCGTGACAAAAAATTCGCCGAGCCAACAACCGCGTGAATATTGAATGCGACCAATTAGGATCTATTTGGATCGTTTTGCGTGACTCCGAATATCACGATAAACTCGCAGTCCTCCCCCCCTCCCCCTCGGGAGATTTAACGACATTACGTGTTTAGCGAACAAGATTTTTCTGCCAATTATCTTGCATCAATTATTTCGGCCGTAGACGGTGATTACTTGTTCGCACAATGATTGTTCATGCCGTTGAACAAAACCGAATTGCGGGCCATTCGTTCCATTCCGTGTTCCGCTGTCGACCGCTACGGGATCCATCGAGACCTTTAATGAGATTACGGAGAAACCGGTGTAAAAATGATGGAAACGCGGCTTAATTGACAATCCGACGGAGGCAATAAAATCAACAATGCGCGGCGCATTTTACAACCAGGCCAACCGATTACGCAACGTGCTCGAATTTCGTTGTGCTGCCGAGTCTCCAAGCCTTTTGAATCATTTGCCGCAGCATCGATGTTTCTGTACTCGCATTTGTCCAAGTACATATTTTAGTAGAAAATATACAAGCATTAACGCCCGTAGGCTCCAAAGAAATAATTCTACATAATTTGTACAAACGATGTTTGACTTCGATGAATTTCGTTCGACATTTCAATTCAACCAATTATGTTCTATTCGTAATTTCACGCTTTGAATTTACGACACGAAGAAACGTGAAATTGTGTACAGTAACTGAGATTTGAATTGTTTGAACCGCAGAACTATTTTTATTTCTGCTCTAACAACCAAACAATTTTCGACGATTAAAGAATCAAAATTGAATGAGGAATCGTAATCGGTTTTATATGAGAAACTGTATTCAACAGCTGTTACGAATTTCAATTGTTTCTCCTTGGCGATGCGAAGAAGGAATTTAGTTTTGTTCATACATATTGAAGTATAAGCGGCACCACGAAAGAAACGGAAATTAAAGGAACGACGATAGTTCCTTGTTTGAACTGCAGAATTATTTTTATTTCTGCTCTAACAACCAAACAATTTTTCGACGATTAAAGAATCAAAATTGAATGAGGAATCGTAATCGGTTTTATATGAGAAACTGTATTCAGCAGCTGTTACGAATTTCAATTTTTTCTCCTTGGCGATGCGAAGAAGGAATTTAGTTTTGTTAATACATATTGAAGTATAATATAAGCGGCGCCACGAAAGAAACAGAAATTAAAGGAACGGCGATAGTTTGTAGATTGGGTGGGCTATAAAATTGGAACAAAAATTGTTTCGACTTAATGGCGGTTCCAATTATGGCGACAGGTGTACTGACGAGAACACGCTACGTTTCAAGTTAATCTGTCGAGTAGATATCACGACAGCCAATTTAAATCAGAACCTGAAAAAGAACGAGTTCGAAGCTTTGTGTGTACAACAAGCTTTAGCACTTCTCGAGATGTGCATCGCCTCTCTCGAACCGCTACAGTTTTTCCAATGCCGGGCATTTAGAGGACCCTTCTAAAATACGCATTGTCGAAATTCTATTCTTTAAAAGATCAATATCGAATAAACCGAAGCAACATTAACCTCTTAGCTGTACAAGACGAGCATATTCGTAATGAGAATGCAGCAATTACTAGTCTACGAAATAGTGAAAACTTCGAAAAAGTATATTAATCTTATCGTTTCTTAGTAATCAAAATTGTACAGATGAGAAATTTATGTAATTCCTATTTTTTCAATTGTCGCGGAAAATTT